TTTTTTTTTTTTTTTTTTTTTTTTTTAACTTTAATTGTTTTAAGCAGTTCAATTCTACCTCCCTATCTCATTAGATTAAGCAATTTAAATCTAACTCTTTTAATCAATTTTTCGATGAGTTTAATTCTATAATTCTTTTAATAGTTTCTTCCCAGAAGTTTAATTCTACTCCCATATTTAAATCATCTAAATCTTTAATTCGTTTAATCCTCTAAATCGTTTAATTCTGTTCAGCATTTTATTCTATTCCCACATTTTTTTGCTTTACTATTTCCAAATCTAATCTTCTCCTCCTTCCATGTATTGTTTTTATCTTTTTCTTCTCTTTGCATGTATTGTTTTTTTTATTTATTATTATTATTATTATTATTATCATTATTATTTGATCTGTTTACCCAATCTTCCTCTCTCTCTCTTCTTTTTTTTTATCATGTTTTCCAAATCTTCATTTTTTTTATTTGGATATGTTTTCCAAATCTTCATTTTTTTTATTTGGATATGTTTTCCAGATCTTCCTTTTCCCTATCTTCATCTCTTTTTTATCTATCTATTTTTTCTTGACCAAGACTTTTAGGATAGATAATTTCTAATTCAGATCATTCCAACCGATAATTTCTAAATTTCTAACTCATATCTAAATAATTGCTAATATCCTTCATAAAAAGAAAAAGTAAATGTGACTACTAACCTCAAATGACATTTCTCCTCCTTTATCTGCCTACATCTCTCGATTATTGTTCATATCTAAATAATTGCTAATATCCTTCATAAAAAGAAAAAGTAAATGTGACTACTAACCTCAAATGACATTTCTCCTCCTTTATCTGCCTACATCTCTCGATTATTGTCTAACTAATATTCTTCATAAAAGGAAAAAGTAAATGTGACTACTAACCTCGAGGTCTCTCCTACTAACCTCAAATGACATTTCTCCTCCAATGAGGTCTCTCTTTCGTTATTTCTAACTCATATTTAAATAATTGCTAATAATCTCTCCCTCTTTCTCTCCCTCTTTCGTTTATCTGCCTACCATCTCTCCATCATTGTCTAACCGGAAAAAGTAAATGTGACTACTAACCTCAGAGAGGTCTCTCCTACTAACCTCAAATGACATTTCTCCTCCAATGAGGTACATTTCTCCTCCAATGAGGTCTCTCTTTCGTTATTTCTGACTCATATTTAAATAATTGCTAATAATCTCTCAATTTCTAATTCAGATCTAAATAATTGCTAATATCCTTCCTAAAAGGAAGGGGCGTTACATTAGGAATCACGGATCTTCACAATGGTATGATATTGTTCACTTTGAGCATAAGCTCTCATGGCTTTGCTTTGGGTTTCCCCAAAAGGTCTCATACCAATGGAGATAGTATTTCCCACTTATAAACCCATGATCTTCCACTAAATTAACCAATGTGGGACTCACTCCCAATAATCCTCAACAATCCTCCCCTCGAACAAAGTACACTATAAACCTCCCCTGAGGCTTATGGAGCTTTCGAATAGCCTCCCCTTAATCAAGGCTCGACTCCTTTCTATAGAGCCCTCGAACAAAGTACACCTTTTGTTTGACACTTTAGTCACTCTTGACTACACCTTCGAGGCTCACAATTATTTGTTCGATATTTGAGGATTCTATTGACATGGTTAAGTTTAGGGCATGGCTCTGATACCAGATTGTTGAACACAACTCTTTATAGGAAACACTTGCACACTTTTTAAGACCAACCGAGAAGAGATTTACAAGACACTCGGTAAAAACTACTACTCGCACACTTTTTAAGACCAACCGAGAAGAGATTTACAAGACACTCGGTAGAAACTACTACATTGTATTGCTTGGGATTTCTTGGGATGATGAACACTCGGTAGAAACTACTACATTGTATTGCTTGGGATTTCTTGGGATGATGAACTAAGTAGGGTTACATTGTATT